CCTGATTCGAGAGTTGAGATCGAGCTCCAGCTGTAGAACAAGTGAGGCTTACTCCGAAGACAACATCCACTGCAAAGCTCCTGGGAAACGTAAACATATTTAGAGGCAAGTCTGTCTATGATAAATAGGAAACGTACCATGGACACTGTGTCAAGGCAAGCGGATTCATGAAATTTGTTACGGAATAGTAGTACACGCTATGTGAGGTAAACGCGAGATGAAGACCGTCAACAACCCTGAGGATATGTATGAGTACCGTCATTTGAATGATTGTTGTGAGGGATATACCATAGGAAGAATATCTGCGGCCATCGATGAGCACAAATAGCTGCAGCCACCAGAGAGGGCACGTACTGTTCGTCTCATCAGGTCACTATCGCGAGGATTTCGGTGAAAGTAGACGTAAACTTGCACACTCGTGATACCGAAAAGTCTGCTCAGCGGTAACATCGCCGCGTTAGAAGGTTGACCACATGTTCAGTGCCCTGATACCACTAACATTGCCGCCAGGATTTCGGCTATCGCGCAGGTCAGCCAATGTTTATGTCCTCACTCGCAATCCTCTCACAAATGAGTATCACGCCGAGCGTGTTATCGAGATGTAGCGAGACCGAAGGAACCATAGGCGGCAACATATGAACGGTTGGTTCGGCCATGCTTGCCGTGTCTCTCAAGCTTCAGAAATGCAACATAGAGCAGCGTGCGTGTTATATACGTACCGCTATAAATCGCCGGGACGAAGCTTAAGCAGCGAAGTACTCCTACTCCGCCGGCAGTCCCAAAGGGAACGAGCGCACTAAGCGGCTCTCGTACGTCCACCCCGAGAACCTAGTCTTGTGGCTATTCCTTTATGAAATCATCGTGGAACAAGCGGTCCCAGGCACTGCTTCTGCCGTCCGCCATACTACGCTTTTCCATAGATGTCGATATAGCAGCGGCGTAGCTATGCTTCGATGTATAGAAAGTGATAAATTATCTTGGAAGCAATCAAGGGAGAAGCGTTGCGGTGTTGTATGAATGTTGACGGTCACATCGATGAAGAGCATTTAGGAGAGCCATCTTCCTGTTCCATGCACCCTTCAACGAGTGTGCGATGCGCCGGTATAGGTTCGGTCATAGGATGCCCGCTGCATGCGAGCTTGCCAGCTGCTAATGGGCGTTCGAAGGGCACATAGGTCTGCCTGTTATAGGCGGCGTGAGTGCAACAAGTATGGTAGATAGATGAGACAAAGCCAGGTCGCATACCTACTCCAGCGTTACTGTGAGTATCATGCTCAACGTATCAGCAGGCATCTGTGTGAGCATGACGGCGTTCTCACCGCCATCTAAGCACGGGGCCCGCGTATCGATTCTCATGTAGCCCGTGATCCCAGCGAGACGCCAAAAGGCTTGATTGAGCCTGATTTTGGTAAATCTGCCTTGTGCAATCGAGGAAGAGGGATGTGGGAAGACACTCACCTTGCGGGGGCGGTATAAGCCTCATTAGACCTAGCCAGGAAGCGGCTTTAGATTTCGCCTATTGGGCGAGCTAAATGGGTTTTGATTATATCCACCTCATCATGCGCAGCCCGGTCGAAGCCTGGTCAAGGCTGGGACAAAGAGCATTAGGCCTCGGGATGGTATAAACAGAGGTATCAAGAGGTATTGTGCGAGTGAATAATGCTGCGGCCTGCAGGTAATAACTATGTCTGGTATGTTGTCATTGTCTTACGTTTACTATTAAAACTCAACAGTCAATGCCAGGTAGTGGTTGAGGGTCCGGTCCTAAGGACCGGTTGGGACTGGGACTCAGACTGAGACCAGACTGATTAGGACTGGGTACAGTCCAGTCCTACATCAGTCCGGTCTTGGTCACAGTCCTTGGTCCCAGATGGCCTCGGATACCTTAGGACTGGTCATGACCAGTCAGGACCAGTCACGGACTGATCAAAAGTAGTGGTTTATCTGGCTCAGCTTGGCCCAGAATATGACGGCTTTGGCTCAGCTTCTCCAAACTTGGGCTTGCAAAAGCCCAACTCAAGCTGCATGCCACCGCAAGCCATAAGCTAGTGGCTCAGCTTGGGCTTGGCCGCAGCTTGCATCCCAATTAGGCAGGTGCTGTGGATTGACCTTGTCAACAGTTCCACGGCTGCCACGCATAGACACACAGTTATATACAGCATGTAAATGGTTTGCTTCTGTAGTATATATTCTAAATACAT